TTGTATCGATCCACTTCTCATTTATACTAATCGTGTTTAAATTGCCGATAATATTTGCCAAATTTGCCTTAAGGAGTCACTGAAATTAAGACTCCAGAAATTAAGATACATCTGGAACCTTTAAGGAAAATGAGTGATAAATAAATTGACACCTCTTTCGATGTCTTGGCGTAGGAGTTTTAAAGAGTTAGTTAAGCCTTATTAAGCCTACTTACAAAGAATATTTCTATAGCATCACAGCAATGTGGTTTCAATTTTGCCGTGATGTGTTTTAACGAATTCCATGTACCTATGTTTAGACGTCAGAGAATCATAAAAGTCTCGGAGCCAGTCCCATAGTGTAATAATATGATACAATGCAATTTTTGTGCATATTGAGCTATTTACATATATTAAAGGGACTAATAACAAAGAACCTTGTTCCTTGTAAATAGGTACATATTCGTTAAATTCAGATGATATGGAAATTAATAAACTTTAACAAACGTAATAAAGGAAGGGAGGTATGGGAGTTACCTATGTATTCTGTTAAAAAAATACAAATAGATCTTCATACCTAACAAGTCTTATTTTATAAACTTTTTAACTTATATTATATTTTAAATCATTATTCTATTTATAATTGATATGCAAATAAAATCTGTAATTTTATTATTATCATATATTAATGATATGGATAGTGAATATAAGGTGAGAGTGTATAGAATTTGAAATAAAGAATAGGTATAGAATACTTCTACTACAAGTATTTTCCACATAAAAATAATAAAATGCTTTTGTGAAACATTAACCTCAAGTAAGTGCCTCAGATTTCAAAGATTTTTATTGTTGGGTTTTACGAAGACGTTCATTATTTAAAAGATGAGAAGAAATTTTTTAATTGACTTTCTGTATTCATTTCAGTACAAAAGAAATAAAATTTTAATATATATTAAATAATTGTAGGTATAACAAAAATAGTATTTTCTTCTAAATCTCCGTATTTTAGCTCTAAAAATTTATTGATAAATACCATGCCATATTGATCAAAACTTGTTGCTACTACTTGAACTTCTCTCAAATTTACACACAGATTAAAGGCCCTCTAAAATATTTCTACGGACCCAACGCTTACTCGATTCAGCACTGACTCAAAGTTAGTAATATTTTTATATCCATCCAAATGTTATTGAAGATTTTCGGGAGTACACATTTATAGTAGAACTATGTGTGTCGGATTAGTACGCGATTTTCATTATTTTACTTTCAACCGCCATCACAGACAGGCGAGTTGAAAGTGTCTTAAGAGACAAACAGAGATATAAAGGGAGAGGTCAGAGATAATAAAAATTGCGTAGTTTTTCGAATAAAATCATTTTCATTCTGAGTTGATATATATACAAATGATAATGACTTAATCATATTAGCTAAAAGAGTCTGATTGTTATTTAAAATTGCAGTATGAGTATGAGGACCTTCCTCATTTCTATGTGTCTTGTCTAATTTATATAAACTTCACGGACGTTTCGTTCTGTTTTTCTCGCACTCAAATCTCATGGTCTGTCAATATCAGAGTAAAAATATTTTATTTACAAAGTTGGCAGATATTTATTAAACGAAATATGGAGATAAGACCAGTATGAAAAAAAAAAACAAAATAAAATAAAAAATCGAAGTCAATAGTACTTACATGCACATAATTTTACACTAGACGACGCTAAGTGCGAACTGTTTGATAAAAATCAGGTTAATTAAATACATATATCATAAACGAAATGTTATTGTATTATTTACTTGTAGACTGAATCTTAATATTGTATGTATATAGAAAACAATTTAGCTAACAATCGTTATGTAATTCATTCGTTGTAGAGTTAAATTTTAAACAACCAAATTTTAATTTTCAGAGTTTAAACAACAAAAACGGCAACAGCGTGACAACCACGAAAAAGCCATTAAAAACAAGTTTTTAGACCAAGACATGAGTTTTAATAATGAGGGTAATGAGGATGAGATGGCAGTTAATTTTTGGAATGAGCCCGTTTCAAAGAATTATATAAGATTTTAAGACATATTCAGTAATGAAAAACGAGATACTAATAATTCTTTGTATTGTTATATAGATTTTTTTAATCCTTTTAAACACCTTTTATTTCTTAATCATTCATACTTATAAACAAAAAACAAAATAACTAAAATTTATTTCACTTATAAACAGATTAGAAACGAATTTGGAATTGTATTTAAAATGTTGATTATCTTCATTTAAATTACCGGATCATTAATTCTGTAATTTGAGATTATATTGAATATATAATCATAGTAAATATATAACGAAAATATCATACATATTTCAATATTTGGCAGCAGATTGATCAGTAATCCCTTAAGCCCAAATCCAATAAATATTTTAAATTCAAAATTATGATTGCATTTGCTGAATGAGCCGTGTAGATTGAATTTATTTCCAACAATAATAAAGTAAGTTTATAATGATTTAAATTCAAATTCAGTATTGCAATGAATCATGAATCTTCTATATATATAAAAATGGATTGCTGTTCCTTAGTCTCGCTAAAACTCGAGAACAGCTGAACGGATTTATCTTATCTTAGTCTTGAAATGTTCGTGGAGGTTCAGGGAAGGTATAAAAGCTGAAAAAAATTGATTCATTACTAGGAAAACCATAAAAACAGCCCTTTTCTATTTCCCATACAAACGGGTTTTTTGACATTAGATTTGACAACTAACTAATATGTCAATCATTCTGTCGCACTTTAGAACACGGAGATTTATAGCTTAAAGGTAAACTCCAAAAAAATAATTAAGAAATAATTTATTTCTTGATTGAAGCAGTAAGAAGTCTGCCGGGTCAACTAGTAATAAATAAATATCTTCTGTCAAATGCTGTCTGCAGCCACGACGCGGACGCCCCTGTGTGAAAGCTATGCGATGCACACAGATGCCAAAACGATAGAGGCACCAACAACATTTTTTTTTTCTTTTTACGCTTACACAACAACACATTTATTATAGTGGATTTTGAATTAGTTGATATATAAGTAGGAACAATTGGTTCAATATATGACTTGCAAATTGACAAAAGCATTTGAAATTGTTTACAATATTTTCTAAAACATACATAAAAAGCTGACCTGAGACTTCAAGTAAAGTGAGTATAATTCTTACTTACCTCTAGCACCTGGTACGTGAAAATTGGTCGTCGTTATAAGCTAGCAGATATGTTTACTGTACACAATAATACTAACTTATTATTAAAGTTTGGTCAGTCACAAAATAAGTAAGGTCAAGGGGCCCTGGGATCTTCTACACATTTTTAAACATAGAATATGATATATATCTACTATGTATATTATCATTAATTACTAAGCATGCCATTTGATATACATATGGTGATAGATAAAGTATGTAAAAATTTGATTCACGTTTTTACAGTAATATTCAATCGAAACAGAATGGATTCACATATTAAGGGAAACATATAAATCTGGAGAACATTTCTTCGGTCAAAAAGGGTTTTCATAGGTTTCCCAGACTTTTCATACAACAAACCCATAAAGAAACGTAAAACATTCTTCTACAGAGGAATACCTAATATAAATTTTCGGCATATAAATTTTCGGAATCCATTAACTGGTAAACAGTTTACAACAACGGCTTTAACGACAAACTTTCATGTAGCAGATAAAAGAACACCTTAAACAAAAAAATAATTTAGTTCAACTTTCATTTTGAAATAATCTAACACGCAAATAATTTTCAATAACGCTTTCATTGAAGGCGATATGTGACAATGAATAGACTAAATCAACCTATCTATTGAGTCTTACATCATCATTTCTATTATTCAACATTGAATTGAAGCACTAAAGAGGATGTTTAAAAATATGTACGCGTATAGCTAGCTTTAGCAAATTTTTAAATATAATTTAGTTATTTAATAATCATATGTATATAAAATTTAAGGTGCCTAATAACAAAAATATATATTTATTGAAATGGTTACTAAAAACTTTAAAAATTATAACCAGAAATGAGATATTATTTCATTTTCGTATGTATCTAATTCGTATTAATAACAGATATATCTTGATGTCCTACATAAATTAATTGGTACACCTACGTAGTAATCCTTAAATTCTCAAATAAATATTATATTTATTCTTATAAAGTTTATTTTTATTAGTTCGTCAAAGTACACTGATAATATTTTCGGATTATTTAGCGTAATTTAAACAAAAATCTTTTAAATACGAGTGGCTTCATTTATATTACATTTAATGATGATCAAGTTATGTTTTTTAATTTGAATATTGTTTTACAGACAAGCTTTACTGTAATAAATAAGTTTGTCATGATATTATACTTCTTATTTAAATATACTTTAATATATGAATCAACTCATATGCTATAAATAATATTGAACAAGTCCATAAGTACTAATATCCAAATATTTAAGGAACTCATAGCATTTGATGACGTAGGAGCTTTCTGTCCTCTATAACGACTGAATCACTTCTCAGTTCAGAAATAGCGAGTGCTTGCTTTTCGTACAATCCTTACGTGTCACAATGTTGAAAGTGATAGGTGGTGTTACCTACAAAGCAACCAGCAGGCGATCTTTAGTTTCCCATGAAACATGTTGTTTATTAATAGATAGTTGGAACTTCATGCACGTATTCCTCCTTAATAAACTTATTATTTGTACTTATAAACATTATAATCGGTATCTATTGTAATATGAAAACTGAAGTTTACCTACTAACCGCTACAGTTTATAGATCCAAAATCATCAAAAAAAAAAAAACTAATCATAAATTTAATAGCAAATAAACAGTCTGTATTTCAAATAGTAACAAAAACAAGTGTCAAACTAATTTTTTTTAAGTGCACCAGTTACTTTTCTTATACTGGAACAATATGCTTTGTTTAATATGAACTACTTTATAGACGAGAAAAAGAACAAACAATATATTTCCATAATATTTTTATTACATATTCTATAATTCCACTTTGGGTAAGCTGTCCAAGTTCTGAAAGAATTCCAGAGACAATTCAAAAGCATCTCGTTCTTCTGTTAATTTATCAAAGAAATAGCTGGTGTCTACTGCTTCCGATATTGATGTTTTAGAAGTCTTTCTTCGATTACGACTTTTCCTTATCGGACTGCTTATAGGAGTCGAACAATTGTTTTGATCAAATCTTCGCGTCAGAATCGATTTCCTGTCGAGTTTATTCTCGAATATTAGTTTCACGAAATTGCTGTCCACTTTCGCTTTAGTTGAAGGAGCCGATCTTGATACTATTTTTTCTACAATATCCGATAAATCGTTTGCCTCTACATCGCTTGTACTATCATTGAACATACTCAATAAATGCTTTTTTGGTTCCATATTTTCTTTATTTTCTAAATTAACTTTAAATGACTTAGACACATTTCGACTTCTATTTATACTTCTCATCATACTTGACGATTTTTTCTTTTTGCATGGTTTCAAATAACTTTCGATAGTATTTTTTGTGTTCACTTTCCCGTTATTTTTGATTTTTCTTTTCAGTTTATTTACATTAACACTCACTTTACTGGAATTCAGTTCTGTATCTTTCTTAGTCAGACTTAAATTTTTCATAGACCTATTGAGGGTAATCATAAAGTCTGTAATTGGTTTTGGTTTTCTAGTATATTTCCTCTTTGTCTTGTGAACTTCTTCAGAATTTTCATTTTCCTCCTTCTTTTTCCTGCCCCTTGTTTTCTTTTCTTTGGGTGGCTTCTTTATAGACTCTTCGTACTTCTTCACAATATCGGGATAATATTTTAACATTAAATCTTGCCTCTCGATCGTCACCCATGGAACTGAAATATCTTCTTCCTCTATAAAGGATAATATTCATTAAGAACTGCCAAAGAAACTATTTAAGCATATTCAACAATATTTACCTTCCAACTGTTCGTCAGGTATTAGGCCTTCGTAGTGTCCATCAATATCGCCCCATACAACTTCATAACTCGGTACACCTGCGAAGTTTTAATCTTAGATATTTTAATAGAAATATAAGAGTAATATATTATATTTTCGTACCTTTCGGATGTCTTTTCTTTCTGATTTCAAGCGGTCGTAGTGTCCTAGATGGAACATTATCCTGGAGATGCCATTTTGTTAATAAAGGCAAAAACTTCTCAACGCAATACCGCTGCGGCCAATCCAATTTGTATGACATGATTTTCTGTAAAATAAAACAATTTAAAATAAACTTTGTTTAAAAACTTATAACATAAATCAATAAAATTATTATTTCTATATTAGCTTTAGATGTTAAAATTAGAACTTGATTATTAAATGAATACTCGCGAAAGTCTTAGATCTCATTACCTGGTTGATTAAATTCAAAAATCGAGCAAGTTGATACTAAAGCTAAAGCAAAGTTGGTACTAAAAGTAAAGGAAACTAAAATATCTAATTTGATTATTAGAACAATCGAATACCACAAATTGTATTAAACTAGGTTTAGGAATCTTCAGTCTGTCTAGATCTATATCTTCTGGTGTACTATTCAGGAATTCCTTCATAACTTTCGGCTCCGGAAACGGTATGCCGGACGACAAGGCTTTATTGCGGAGCGATAGTTCACGTTTTACATCACATAATTTCGATCTGGAAATATTATTACATAATTGTTATTGTACACTTAATAGAGGAGGTATAACAATCGAAAACGTAAATTTCAAGCGTTTTAAGTAAATTATTCTAACTTATGTCCAGTATCGTTACATCCTTGGTGAGTAGCGCATGTAGCACAGCCTTTCTTGAGGTGAGTTCGGCCCGCGTGCCCGCAGCGGTCACAACGACCTGGGACCGACACCCATCGGGACTGCTGCTCGTAATGTTGTGGATCACTCACCCACGATAATAACCTGTATGGTGATCGACTAAATATACATAATTTCAAAGAAAACCTATAGAACCGTGGTCTTAGCAAGCAAATTTGAATAAAATTTTCAATGAAAGTAGGTATATATACTGAAATTTACAAGAATTCGAGGTTGTTATGAGGTCTAGAAATTAATCTCTCTCATAAATAGAAAAAAAAACACCTGTCGTCTGCTTTTAATATAACTTAAAAACCTGAGGAGTCAGTAATGCCATGACAAACAAAAAGATTTTTTACATGAAATGTGCCCTATTTTTCTACGCATTTTCTGTTATTGTCGAAATATATTATTTTTTTAGGCTAACCAATTCTAACTTTAATAAACAATACCATCAAAGAAAATAAAAAACTCCATCACAATGATAAAATTTAACCCGACCACCTAATTCACGAAAACCAATTGGTTAGTCACTACATTAAAACTCTTTGTTAACTGCAAAATGAACAGAACAGAACTTGTGTAGGACCAGAATTTTTATGAAACCCCCAAAAGAGGTTCCATTATTACCTTGATATAACTTGATCTTCTGAGACAGTGTGGAGAAAAGAAACAACTGTTGTTTTAGATGACCCGCAGGCACCAAGTCCATAGTCAGAACCACAGAGCAACGCTAACGCAACCATCTTATTACGTCCAAACCCTAAAAAAAATCTCATTGACATAAACATTGTAACTTAAATTTTTTCTTATTATTTAGTACATATGAACATTACTATTGTAAATTTAGAACCCAGGAGACAGATACTAAATATTAAATTAATACAAAAACATATATATATTTAATGGATATTTGTACATGTATATTGTATACCACATATAAATTTTCATTATAATTTTTATGGTTCTGTTATCTTCAAGGACTACAAATCAATGAATAATCTACCATTATTATTAAACATCTTGACAGCATCATAGACATCCACTGAGCCCTGTGTGGCTCCTCCCCCACCTGCATTTGACACACTGAAGTTGCGATACACTTTCTTAGCTCCATATGCAAAGCAGTCAGAATCTTGGGATACAACAGCATCTACTAACTAAAAGAAAATTAAAGAAATCAGTGAGATGTACATTTATATGCATATGTAATCGCATTGCATTAAAATATTTTTATAACACCAATGTTATTGTCAAGATAAATAGAATAAACTAAGCTAATAACTCACAAGCTTCTTATAAAATCCTAGATTAATATTACAGTGTTTCCAGAATTTGATTATTTATGTATATACAAATACCAAGAGTGTTCTTGATTGGGATTCATTATTTTTATAAATAAAGGGTGTTTTTTTTTAGAGATATACAACTTTAAGTTGCCAATACTTTTTTAACTGGCAGTTATTTTGATAGCTGTCCAGTGATTTGTGTTTAATTTGGTTTGGCAATTCATCATGAATAGACTAACACCTGAACAACGCCTCCAAATTGTGCAAATTTATTTTGAAAGTCATGGCTCTGTTCGAAAAACGTATCGCGCACTACGTCCATTTTACGGAACACATAATCGTCCATCAACACAATTAATTCGATTAACAATGGAACGTTTTCGCACTACATTTACTCTAAATGATAATACGCATCCACAGAGATGTCGTACAGTGCGTACAGAAGATAAGAATAATTGGTCCGTACTTCTTTAGAAACGATGCTGGCCAGAACGTTACAGTCAATGGTGACCGCTATAGAGCGATGATTAGTGACTATTTCGTTCATCAATTAAACAACCATAATGTTCAGGAGTTCTGGTTTCAACAAGACGGTGCAACATGTCATACAGCTCGTGCCACATTTAATTTTTAAGAGAAACATTTGTTAACCGCATAATTTCACGATTCGGATCCGTGAATTGGTCCCCAAGATCATGCGATTTAATGCTGCTTGATTATTTTCTGTGGGGATATGTAAAGTCGTTAGTCTACGCTGATAAGCCCGAAACCGTTGATCACTTGGAGGATAACATTCGTCGCGTTATTGCCGATATACAGTCACGAATGTTGGAAAGAGTCGTTGAAAATTGGACCTCCAGATTAAACTACGTACGAGCCAGTCGTGGAGGTCATATGCCTGAAATCTTATTTAAATTATAATGACAGAATATTATCTTTCCAAAATATTATATTTCATATCAATAAAAAAAATCATTTTTGTTTTATTTTATTTCAAAGTTGTATACCTGTAGAAAAAACACCCGTTATATCACATCCTATATTGTGCACTAATATAATCTATAAAACATATTGAAATTCTCTTTAAATATCCGATCAGAGTTCATATAGAATTCATAAGGCATTTTCAATGTTCATATTTAATATAAACAAATTATTCAAATATTGGTTACAAAAGTTATTCAATTTTTTTTTTCTATTATTCAATAAATTTTGATATTAATATCATAACCCCCCTTACAAGAAACTATTCAATTCTAGCTTTAGTTATTTAAAATAATATGACATACAAGCATTTTATATATTAGAACCAGTTTCTTGGCTGTATGGTAATTATAGAATATAATTATTGATCAGTATACAAACACCTTCAGCATTTAATCTAGCACAAGTGGCTTCAGCTTCTCCTCTGCCTTTTACACATCTCACTCCCATTGTCTTTAAGAGATTTTCACACTGAAAATGTAATTATTGTATGTAAGATTAAACTTATCAAATTATTTAGTATACAATATTTTCAAATTTATAATGAGTAAAACTATTCATTCACTTAATTTTTTTTTATATAAATAATAAAATATAACACCTCCTTTAACACCCCTTTGAACCTTGATCTTGTTATGTTAGTTTGTTTTTTTTTCTCTGTTGTAGCTTTAGGGGCTGCACCTTTAAACTGCAGTGTATTTCTAGCAGCCATAACATCTCTCTTTAGTTCTGGAGCATCACCCTCAAGCACAAATATAGGATTTACATCACTTAGCACTAAGTAAAGAGTTCGGAAGAATAGATTTCTAAAAATATATTATTATTTAATAAATATTTCCAGCTTAAAGTTGTCTTAATGATTTATTTTTAATAAGTATTTAATATCTTTGTCATACCTTAGATATAGCTTAGGCTGAATGTAATAATCAGTAACATTTTGACTGTCGCAAACCCATCCAGCTAAGTCTATAGCAACAGTTTGACCACTAATCTGAAATAATTTTTGCTTACGTGAAAATAGAGTTTAATAAAGATTTATAATCAATGCTCAATTAACTAAGACTACTCAGGATGTACTAAATCATGTTGAGTACTAGCAATTACATGATCTAACCATAATAATTAATGTAGCAGTATTTAACTAAAATACATCTTACTTCGTGTAATGATATCTTCTCAGAATATGGACCTAATACGGTCCATAACCCCTTTATACCCATTTTAAAACTGTCAGAAATAGCTCATTATTGTAAGATATTCTTTTGATTATTTCAAATGATTAAAAAATATATAATAATTAATAAACACAATCTAGGTACTTCAACATTTTGAAATAAACGCCCATCTGTGTCAATGTCAATTCTAAAATGTCAAAACCACAACGTATACTTTCATATTTCGTATATCTACACATGTCACATAAGAGCACTATCAGGGAAAAATAGAAATTTCGCACTTCACAACATATTAAATATCAATTTTAAATTAAAGTGTAACATCCGTTTCCATTTTATTTATATACCTACTCACATATTATCGTTAGCAAATATTGTAAAATATTTTTAAAACGCAAAAAAAATCTTTCTGTCATATGCGCATTATTAAAAAGAATTTAACAGTTTATTCCTATTATGTATTATACTTACAGAAAGATAGATAAAAAATCTTAATACCTTTCAATTATACATATAAACTAGTTTTTCCCTTTAACTCCGTCCGCGTTATGATCAGTTTCATGTAGAGAAAAATGTATAAAGTGTATTTAAGCAATACATATAGAAAATAAATAAAAAGTCTGCAACGTAGATTATGTTTATGTCGCAAAAGGATCTACTTAATTAGATGAGTTGTTTTTTTTTTTCTTTAAAACCTAGTTTTTTAACAATGATTCTTACTTGATATCAATGCAACAGTGTAAGAATACCATATCTTTTCTAAAAAGATGTGAGCCATTTTTAGGCCATGGAAATTAGATTATATAACTCACACTTGATAGTAAAATCTTAAAATAATTGTTAAGTCTGTTTACTTTAAATTAATAAAATTTATAATTCAGATGTTCTTTTGTAAGTTCCATGTGGTCATAAAGTTACCTAATTGACAAGGAAGTATATAAAGGCAGCTGTCAAATACATGTGCCAAATTGTCAAACATGACTTACAAATAATGACATTTCTATATTGTTTACATGTTTAGTACAAGTAAACAATAAATAGACGTATAACAATAGAATTGTCAAATCAAGAAAAATTGTTTTTGACTTAATGAAGTGATAAGGAATATTAATCGCAATGAATGACGACATAATGATTGTGACATTGTACTTGTCCCCTCATATTGTTTGTTTAATGAGGTCGTTATCGGAACTATCTTCGCATTACAGTACGCGAGGGGGCACAGCAACCGAAAAACATTATCTATATACTCAGTGATAACTTATAGACGTTGACTTAATTGTGCCTCCATTAATAAGAGGAAATCATTATGTACGCGAATAGATTTTTAAAAATAAGGTAAGTATAATAGTTAGAACTTAGAATGTATAATTATTATCATGCATTATTTTAATGTTAACTCATGTTTTTCAGTTCATTGAACTTACAAAATAGTGTAAGGTTTAATCATGCTCAACAATTAAAGTCTGATATAAAAAGGAGGCATATTGATAAAGTTTTGATAGCAAATAGAGGAGAAATAGCATGCAGGGTGATGAGAACAGCTCGTAAATTAGGAGTTCGGACTGTTGCTGTCTATTCAGAAGCCGATAAAAATGCTATGCATGTTGAAATGGTAATTTTTTCTATATACACTGTAAGGTTAAGTTTTCTTAATCACACCCATTACCTACATTTCAACAAATTTAGTACATACAAAATACAGATTTTGTATGTACCAAATATGCTGCATACAGTTTAAAAATTTATGTAACATGTACATCACATTGATGTCTATTCCAGTGTATGTTATACTGTTTAAAATTATTATGTACATCAAACACTATCCATTTGGTTTTTTGTACCTTTTTTGTTAATGTTCACAATGAAGTTATAACTTTGTTCGGCCATTTCATATTTCATGAAAACTTCTGATTATCGTTTCAGGCTGATGAAGCCTATCACATTGGACCAGCGCCATCAACACAGAGTTATTTAAACACATCAAAGATATTAGAAGTGGCTAAGAGATCAAAAAGTCAAGCTATACATCCAGGCTACGGATTTCTGTCAGAAAATGTTGAATTCTGTAAGCAGTGCGCTGATGAAGGGGTAATCTTTATTGGACCACCCACTTCAGCAATAAGGGATATGGGAATAAAAAGGTAAATATTATATTATTTTTATCAAACACTTAAAATTTCATAACTATGACTTATACAAAAATCTTAAGTAATACTCATAGATTAAGAGTTTGCTTACTGTAGAGCTCTTTAGACATAAAAACTCTTATATTAATTTTAATTAATCCATTATTAAATTTCAATGAACACCTTAAATATTAAACTATATGCGAGGTATGCCATGTAATAACTCTATTTATTATTATTTCCTCAATATTATTCTAGCACATCAAAAGCTATCATGTCAAATGCCGGAGTTCCAATTGTAAGAGGATATCATGGAGAAGACCAAAGTATAGAGAGACTTCAAGCTGAAGCCCAAAAAATAGGATTTCCATTAATGATAAAAGCTGTGAGAGGTGGTGGAGGCAAAGTGAGTTCTATTTTAATATTGAAATATATTTTACTGGTTATTTGTGTTTTTTACTACATTCTATTCTATATATTATGCTTCTCTTAATTTGAATTTTTTCAAACATAGGGTATGAGAATAGCAATGACGGAGGCTGAATTTTTACCCCAACTAGAATCCGCTAAACGAGAGTCTTTAAAGTCATTTGGTGATGAAAGTATGCTTCTAGAACAATACATAACGGACCCTCGTCATGTAGAAGTACAGGTAATTTAAAATCTTTACTTTAGTTAAAGGTCATCACAAGATTAGTGAAGTTTCCATTTATATTTTGTTTATTACATCATTGTACTGCTTACAGGTTTTTGCTGATATGTATGGAAATGCCGTTCATTTGTTTGAGAGGGACTGCTCTGTTCAAAGACGGCATCAGAAAGTTATTGAAGAAGCTCCAGCGGTAATAGCAATTAGTGCATACACATATAGTATTTTGCAGTTATTTTTCTCATGTTGCAAATTCAAGCATAAAATATTAAATTAAAGTTAACCAAAGTCACAATATTTACATTTAGTTGAAATAATTTTTTTTGAGTTTTATTTTTAGTCTGCTACAATAAAATAATTTTTTAGTTCCTAGGGATGGTAAACTCCAAAACCACATATATTTTGTTTAAATATTTTATAGGTCAAATCATTGAAGAAAAGTGTACATAATATTTTTATAAAAATTGTATTAAGATTATAACACTATCTTTTCTAATATAGATTTTATTATTTATTCCATAGAGAAAATTTTTATTTTTGAAGTATTTTGTGTCATATTTAGTTAATAGATATATTTACATCTATTCCAGCCTGGATTATCAGAAGAAACCCGGAGAAAGCTTGGTGAGGCTGCAGTGAGAGCAGCCAAGGCAGTTGGTTATGTTGGTGCTGGTACCGTAGAGTTCATCTTACACCGAGTCACTCATGAGTTCCACTTCATGGAAATGAACACCAGGTTACAGGTTGAACATCCCATCACGGAAATGATTACTGGTGTGTATTGGACAATTCACATTATGTTGTATATAAAAAAAAATATTTATAAATATATATGATAAATTTAATCTTAAAAAATAGGACATGAATTATGTATCAGCAAATATATTTATTATTGCTTTTTGATAGAGGAATTGGATTTTTTTTTTTTACATTTTTCTTATAGCTACAAATTATGAATATTTTATTCAAATATAATATTATTTTATATATAACTTTCCATTGCTAGGTACGGATTTAGTGGAATGGCAGCTCCGTATAGCTGCCGGCGAGCCGTTGCCTGTTTCACAAGAAGACATCATCCGTCGCGGACACGCCGTTGAATGTAGGATATACGCTGAAGAACCACGGGCTGGGTTCTTGCCACGTGCTGGGACACTGCACAGACTCACACAGCCAACACCCGAGGAAAACGTTCGAGTGAGTTCTAGAATCATCGATTGCACACAAAAACGCACACTATGCAGTTCTCGTTGACTGCATTGCACACTATGTAGTTCTCGTTGACTACTACTTAGAATAGCCTTTCACAATGTGAGTTATAGCGCCCTTTGTGAGTGTCGGTGGTATAGCGCCCTAGAAAAAGAAGGGGGTGCTAGTATACCTAGCAATAATAAATGAAATTTAGACGGTGAAAAAATGGGAGCGCTTAAAATTATTTATTCTCCAAGAGGGCAGTAGACAAAATTAGTTTGGGAACCCCTGAAATAGAGTGAAAGAGTCCTGGAAAGAAAACAGACAAATAATTAATAATTAAATAAAGTTTTACATTTTACAATACATCAAAAGGAAAACCTTTTGATGTATTCATTGGAATATTTTACCTTTTAAAGTACATGGACATAATAAATGTAATATGTTGAATATGAACGACAAATATCTATATAGTATTAAAAATTATATTAAATTTGATTTTTATCCAAGACCAAATTCATAAGGAGTGACAACAGACACAAATAACTTATAATTGATATACTATTTCATATATTATTTCAGGTTGAGACGGGTGTTAGAGAAGGCCATGAGGTTTCTGTACACTATGACCCTATGATCGCCAAACTGGTTGTATGGGGACAAGATAGAAATGAAGCTCTCGCTAAAACTAAGAGGAAACTATCCGAATATCAAGTAATAAAATCATAAGTTAATATTGTTAAAGCCCACACAAATATTCCGTTTAACATTTAAACATACATATATGTTTATTTGTATTAATTTTATTTAATTTTAAATATTTCAGGCAGCGATTTTAATTCTTAGTAAAAAATAATAATAAAATTATTGAATTAACAATATAATTGATTAAAATTATTCCATTGCATGTGGACATTGATGCTATAATTGGAGTCACATAACTAAATATTTAATATGTGTTAGGAGTGTTTTCGATCTTCCAGAGTGACATGCCAGCATTACTGGATCCTTAACTACAATTCCAGAATTACTATAATAATCTTTTTTCCAGGTTGCAGGTCTTGAGACGAACGTTAATTTCTTGCTGCGTCTGAGTGGCGCTAGTGCGTTCGTGGCGGGCGACGTGCACACAGCTTTCATTCCACAACACGAGGCTGAATTATTTCCCCAATCTGATACGGTGTTAAGTGAAGACAAGGCTATACAGGCTGCTTTGGGTTATGTGAGTATTTCATATAACTCATCATTATTTAATTTTTTTGTCTTATATAATTTATGGTTAAAGATCTTTATTCTCATAAGAACATACATAGGTTCACTTACATGAGATTAAATAATGTTACACACATACATTACTATTTGATACATGGAATGGCTAGTACTACTTAATATTGTCTAATATATATTTCAAGTTTATTTTTAATAGCTATTAAACATTTACATTCCTTTATGCAGTTTGGCAAAATACATATATAGTTTTACTTTTAAACTAACATTTTCGGATTGCTATGCGTATATTTTTATTTTTAACTACATACTCCTAATGTCTATTCTGTTCGTGATCACGGTTGCTACAAAGTAACCGAAATATCCGGAGTATGTAGTTTCATTTAGATTTAAACATTTACATTCCTTTATATAGTTTGGCAAATCATTATATAGTTTTACTCCATCAAAACGTATATTTTTGTGTCCATAATTTAAGGTTCTGAATTTAGGTAATTCAAGTTTTTGTCTGTTTCTTAAGTAATGCTTGTTTGATTTTTGTGTAAATGTTATGTTTAAATGAATACTCTTAGATAGTATCTTTTTAATTAAAATACATGTGCTATAAATATATGTTTGATTTAGGTTGAATAATTTTGATTTTTTGTACAGTTCCATCGACGGCGTGAAAAAGTCATAGTGAAAAAGTACTTTTATAATTTTGTTTTGCGCAATTTGTAAGATTTTAAGGTTAGACTTTGAAGCTGACCCCCATATTTCAATTAAGTAGTCAATGTGTGGCTTTATTAGGGAATTGTAGATAACACTTCGCACTTTTTTTGGTATACAATTATTAGATCTTCGGAGTGCTCCTACAAGCGATGAGAGTTTTGTTTTGTATAACTCATCATTATTTAATTTACCTTTTATTTTAATAGGTTATCAAATGCCAACACGATTCAACCGCAAACAACTCCTGGAAGGGAATCTCAAATAAAAACCGACGGCGTGGCGTCCTAATTATAATCTAGAAAAGATCGTTAATTTAAAATTCGATGACAAAGGTAAAAATTATATGAACATTATAGTAAAATAATAGTATCAATTATTATTATAAATAACATAATTTTGAGTAATTCCTCCACACTGTACTCAAGATAATAATTCGTCCCAAAAAAACGTCGACATACCTAGCATGAAATAAAAAAAAACTTTTTTCAGACACCAAAGTAACTATCAAGTACCAAAGTGCACCTAACACATATCAAGTTAAAGTAGATGATGGCGAATGGAAGTCAGTGGAAGGAGCGTTGAAATCAACTGAACAAGGTCTCAGGCTGATATCAAAATTGGATGGCCGGACCAACAACGTTGGCTTCTTGACACATGACAATGAAATACATGTGTATGATGAGGTATACTGTCATTTTATTATTATTAATGATATGAAAACTTGCTTGATAAATATAAAAACAATCCTTAAAATAAACAAAATAGGTTAGGAAAGATTAAAATACTTCTTCATCAAAAAATTGGAAGGAATGACACATTTTAAGGGCTATCAATTGTTTTCTTATATTACAATTTATCTATGGCCGTTATTTGAAAGTCCTTACAAGAATTAAACGTAATTAACTTATATGGTCTAAAAAAAAGCAAATAAATAGTGAAGAAATATCTGAACACAACAGTATATAAAAATACATAATCATTTAACTTAAAATGGAAAAGATTTGCTATATTTCTTTGTTTTTTACTCAAATTAAATGTTCTCTAAATTCAAATTACATATATATTTATAAATGTTCTCTAAATTCAAATTACATATATATATATGTAATTTGAATTTAGAATTTGAATTTAGAATTTGAATTTAGAATTTGAATTTAGAATTTTATAAGATCTACTGCATATCAATTTAGTACTATATGATTAGATATAGACTTATTTTAAACCAGATTATAACAAAAATAACTAAATATTAATTACAGAACGGTCAAACAGTGTTACATTTGCCACAACCAAAGTATCAAGGAGCATCCGGCCCAGACTCAACTGCGTCAGCTAACAGTGCTTTCTCACCAACGGCTGGGGTTATGGAAAAAATACTTGTTAGCAAAGGAGACAAGGTAATATATATGTATACATTTTTATATTATAGTTATACTTTTATTCAAAGTAATATTATGAAACTGAAAATTTGTTTGGTCTTGATTGTGATAATATCAATAAATACTTATGAGATAAAAAAATATATATATCATTGTTAAGTAGCTCCTATATGAATGAGGACTATACTCTTTAGGTTTTATCAATTAAAAGTTCTTGCTAAAAAGGGGGTAAACTGTTCCTTACAAGAGCTTTGTTTGAAAAATTTTATTTAGTGGTAATATTTTCTCATAATACCTTGACATAAAGTTAAAACACTGTTACACATTTAAAAATCTCGTATTTGAAAGTACTGCTAAATACTCATTACTTTTATAAAACTTTCTTTGTTTATTTTATAAGTTTTTGAAAACTAGGTCATTAGTATAATGCACTTTTAATAGTCATAAAATCAATTCCTAAGTTGGGCTGGCTAAATGTCTTAAGAGTTTTGGATTCAAAGAATTGATTTAATTCCCCTTCTGTACTAGTTGGTTCTCAAATATATTTAATAACTATATTGCATGACTCTACAATGTAGATATATATTATTTATTGCAAACAGAATTTTATTATTATGCCCTAAAAAATCCAGTTATAAGACTAAAAATAATTTAAAAATGGAGATGTAAATTGTAAACACAATTAATTTATATTTCTTAGTTTAATAAATTATCGTATTATTAGTAGAAATTAATAATGAAATATATTTTTATTTAATTCTTATTTATTTCCGTTGCAGGTTGTTAAAGGCCAACCAGTGTTTGTGGTTATAGCTATGAAAATGGAGTACGTTGTCCGCTCGCCGCGAGATGGCGTTGTATCGGAAGTGGCAAAATTCGTTCAGGGAGACGCTATTGGAAAAGGCGTCCAAGTCGTTACTCTTGAAGCAGAAAGTTAATAATACGCAAGGCAAATTAAAAATCATTTTGTCCCTTAGCCATATATTGTTGAACATTAAAATTATTATTCATAATTTTAAACTTATTTGTCGCAAACAATTTTGATTAGACTTAACCTCTTTACAGGGTGATGACGAATTTACCGTTAATTGTGTGTAGTGACATTCAAAAGGAATTAGAATGAGATATTGTTATAAATTAGTCAAATGTTTAATAGAAAATTTTAATGTCCATGGTACAGGAATCAAAGAGTAAAAAAATTATTTTTTATATTATTTACTGAAAATAAAATACTATTATACAAATTACAAAAATTTTAATTTAAATTCCCTTTCCATGCAAATTTACTGAAGAAATTTAACTGAAGCAAATATTGACAATACATACTGTCATAACAATTTATTTTTTGGTAAATCGTTCTCTGTCCTAGGTATGCAACTTTTAACTCACTCCATTGTCTTATATGACTTTATGTAATATTTTTTACAATACACTTCATTATATTGATATGTATATCTTTATCTATTTGTGAATATATGCCTAAATTATCTATTTTATAAAAGAATTGTAGGCTTATTTGAATATATCTCTATTTCTTATCTTGTTTATAGATAACTACACTGTTATACTATACTTGTTTCCTATCTTAAAAGAAGTTCTGCCACACATATCTTTTAAGAGATAAATTAGAATTTACGCATAAAATTTGTTTTTAAATATTGTAATTGTTATTATTATAAACAAATAAACAATACACAGGATCGGATTTAACGGTGTAATATGTAATGTTTATCCTCTTAAAAATTGACCTCTATTAAAAGTCACGGCTACAAGTTCATACATTATAATTTAACTATAGGATAATAGTGACATAAATACCTCGTTTTATGATAACAATACAGAAACAGAGGTTGGAGACGCCATAAATATTTTATGACTCCTACCATAAGGTGAGTCACAAACTTGTGTTTTGACCGATTTCATATTTACAAAAATACTTTACCAGCCTATATTGTTTACATTTTTCTATAAATATATATTTTATATTCGTATCTTTCGGTTATATTTTAATACAAACCAATGTAATCAAACATTACAATAGCTTTATTGTTCTGTTATCTAACATTACATGTATTTCAAATTGATATTTGTTATATTTAGTCGACGTCAATCATCATATTTTAATAAAAATAGATTTGTAAACCTAATGTATGACTATAATAATTACCTTAATTTCTATATCACGACCACAACATAATTACCGTTATATATATGTTTAATTTAAATAGTGTTATAAAATAAAACATAACTGTGAAACATTTTAGTAACAATTAATGACCTAATTGTTTTATAATAAACTCACACGTTCTTAGACAAACGAACACTTTCGTTGTTAGACTAAATTCTATTGATAACTATTACGATAAGATAGCAATAGAACCTTGACTGTATATTTGGCACGATATTTGTGAAAGTTGTAGGTTACGAGATTATGTACAAAAGGAACGTTAAATTTCATTTACAGTTACACAGGGGGCGTAGCTCAGATGGTAGAGCGCTCGCTTAGCATGCGAGAGGTACCGGGATCGATACCCGGCGCCTCCAACTTTTTTTTGCTTTTTAACATAACTCTGTGCTTTTCACTTTTTTAAATACAGAAAAAAATACAAAATGTTAGTTACTATTCAATATAGCAGGCTATATTTCTACATCTGACCAAAAGGAAAATAAAATTCGTAAAACGACCAAAAGTGGGATAAAATTAAAAATGTAGTGAATAATTATTTTCGAATGACTTTGACGGCATTAAAAATAATCGGAACTCATATATTTCCATTTTTAGAAGTTACAAAGGACCATTTAATATTTATCTGTTTTACCGTTCGTTTGCAAACTCAAAATAAAAACATTACTATAAGAAATCTTCCCCCGAATTGGTCTTTTTGTTTAATATAACAATAGAAGTAATAAATACTTTGAATACTTTTTAATACCGTTATATGAATACATGAATGTTAAACTAAATAAGATAGACATCGTAATTAACAGAAATAGACTTTTAAATGAAATGGTTGCAATTTTTTTATTATTACTCAACTACATACTTATGAACGGCCATTTTGATTAAATGAGTTGCTTAGCCGGATGAATAAATATTTTTGATCCATTGTTTTTTAATCTTCTCTTTACCTGACACAGGTTTAAGTTCCTCGGCTGGCTGTATGGTTTGTTGTTGTTTTTTTTTAACATTCCGGGAACAGCTGATCGACAAAGACCATATGATTCCCGGTACTTTGTGTTCATTGGCCGTTCATGCACCCCTCGGATAAATACATAAGGCCCCGGCTACACTGTCATTTTAAATGTAGCATTGAATGGGTATAAAATAAGAAAGTAGTTTTTAGTCTAATTGCTTTAAGTGCACTTAAATAAAGCTGGCCGTTTCTTTAAAAGGTTACTCATGTACCAAATGCAGTTTTATATCAGATTAATTATAAATGTTTTCCACGATTCGCAATAAAAAAGCGAGGTCAATTCTTTCTGCATTCAAATATTTATGATGTTTTTAAAAACAAAACAATGTTTCATTGGCTAGTGTAATTACTTTTTATTAATATAATATAATTTACAAATCGTGTGTAAAATGCTTTACCGTCGTTTTATGAATTTGGTTATAACAGGTTGGTTTTACAAAAAAGAAGATTTAGAAAGACCATTGAACACTTGAGATCGGCGAGCGAGAACATTCGGAGAAATATAATTTCAATTAAAATATGTAAAAACTAAAACTTAAACGTGCTTAATTCAACATCCGTAACTTTTAATTTATTATCTTTAATTAAAAAACGTGACATTTCTTTCAAATATTACAACCGTTGTGGAATAAAAACGTCGAGTTTCGTCATCAAACATTATGAAAGCAACAGAAGTCACGTGTGAAAATTAACTACTCCGTAAAACATTTATTTATAATTTTTAATACATATTATAGAAATGAAACGAAATGAAAAAGGCTCTTTGTATTATTAACTCTACTAGAAGTTTTACATAGACTTATCCTGTCAATTTATCTGTCAAACGTCATTTTATTTGTCAAAAATATTACAAATTATAGTAGGTAATTAATTCTTTTTTCTAATATCCACACCTCATAAGTCATAATGTATGATTACAATTGTATTTCTTGTTTAATTTGCATAAATAATTAATTTATTGATAGGTATTTATGTAATGATTGTAAATGTCCCAAATTATATAATTGGTAATTACTATGGATATTAAGTAATGAAGACTTTTAAATTCTTTTATACTTACATTTTATTAAATCTTCATTTAAAGAAGTCGATAATGAATATAGTTTATTTGATATATTTATTTATAGTTACAAAAATTAATACCATTTCTATTGTATTAATCCTTTACGTAATAAATAAGTATTTATATAAAGTTACATATGTAACTATTTATTTATATATAAACCTCTTTACACTTATAAATAATAAAAAAGGAAATAAATCCAATGCCATATTACCAATTATACAACTTTAAAGAGTTCATAAACCTGCTTAAAAATATATTGTAACCAATATGTTTAAAGTTGTTTACACCATCTCACCTTATATTATTATTACAGGTTAACGCATTTACTAGGTTTTTACATTGCTAGTGACCTCCGAAACTAGGTATTTTATCTAGTCAGCGACCTAAATTAACTATTACTATACAATGATAATAAAAAGTACTTAATACGTATTCCTTTCTTTCTTTCACCTTGCATTTTACACAAAATAAGTTTAAGAAGCTCGTCTGAAACCTTCAACAAAAATGTTCAAAGCTTAGTACGAAATTTTGCCTCTTTTTTCTTTTTCTTACTTAACATCTATGATTCAATCGAAAATAAGCTTAAATAAATGTACCTGTGTATAATACGTAATAAATAATATCAAAGCAACAAGTGCGAAGTGAATATGGTATATAATATGTATGTAAGATCACGATGATTTTATAGTACGGTGCGTCCCAATTATTCAATTTGCGTAGATGTAATGAGGCTACGTTAATAGTGTTGCATAAGTGGGGTGCATCTGCTTGACATTTGAATCGACCCTAAATCCGAATAGAAACTGTGTCACGTATTAGCCGGCGAGCAAGTCGCAAGTACCGGCAAGACGTTAGACGCGCTGTTGACGAGTTGAGTCGCGTTGTGCAATCCCGTTAGCACTCCACTCCACGTGCGAACCGAGCCGGCGCGCCTCAATGTCGTCCGTGGGCGGCTGCCGCCCGCTCAAAATAGCGAGCTCTTCCGAACGCCGTCGAACACCGAATGTTACCGAATACGCTCTCTCTTTCGTACTTACGCAGCTTGATGATTGCCTTTCACTTACGCGACCAGCTGAGTATCAAAACAAAGAAGCGAGACGCACGGTCGCCGCTCCCTCTCGCCGGCCGGCCGGTGTCGCGCTATACGCACGCCAGTTCTCGTTTGAACGGTGTCTATTGAGGTTGTCCGCAGCTAGCTTGCGCGCAAAGTTTACAGCCGCGAAAGGGTTTTCCTTTGTCCCGATCTTCGAGGACCTTGCCCTCGTATTATGTTTCCGCGCGAGAACAGCGATCAACCTCGGCCTATTGAGGAGCCGGACCTAAACCAGCGTGCAAAGTCACCTAGGAATTTCCGTGATTGCCCAAAATTTTGTTACGGTTATCCCGCGAAACGTTTACGTCGAGCAATTTGAAAATTTAAGTTAACTCGTGAACAAAGTTTAAGAGTGGACTGGAGGACACTCGCAGTTTTTGTGTCGTGTGTTAACTACGGAGTACATAAAGACTGAAAGCATCATGTCTACTGGCAAACGACTAGCCAAGCGCTCTATCATAGGGACGCGAGTTGCGGCTTTGAGGGAAGATGAACTGTACTATTCTGGTATGATCCAGGCTGTTAAAACACCCGCACCCTTTCCAGAAAATAATAATTCCATCAACCTGACACCTAACACCCGTTATACCGTTCGCTTCGATGGTGGTAAAGTAACACGCGAGTATCGCGACGCAGAGCTCATCGGGCCCGGTTTCCGTGGCTTGGCCGGTGTCCGTCTCCGGCCAGGACAGCGCGTCTTCCTCACGTACAACGGTCGCGAGGTCCGAGCCGATGTGTTGGAGCACGATCACCAGACCGACGAGCTGAGGGTGCAAGTTCTGACGCCCGGTACAGAGGTAAGGATGACATTTATATACCTATTACTATTTACTACGAAAGACCCGAAATAAATTCCGTCCAAATCGTTTCCCGATAAAGTTGAGATCTAATCTCGCTTCACCGAAAATTCAACAAAAGAGTTCAACGCAGTTTTATTAGTTGGAGAAATCATATAGAGTTCTTTATTAAATCTTAACGTACTTAAATGTAATAACTCTTGCTCTAACATATAGATATAAATACGTGAGTACAATGATCAATGTAATGACATAACTATGCAGATTGTTAAACTAAATGTCTGAATGTCATGAGGTGTTCAGTCATTGTCATAGGATGTTGACATTGCAAGAACGTTGTGAATTAGACAAAGGTTTGGATGAGGGTGGGACGGCAGTGCGGATGCGCGTGCATCGAGCTATTGACCCCTGCACGTGGACGTGACGGGCTTCTCCCTGGCCGGTGCAACGCTGCACTACGCATTAGCCGGCTATCGCGCAAAACAACTCAACACGCCGGCCGGCGATTATTCCAGTAGCCGCTTCATTGCGAACGGCTAAATATATTCGTAACGCAATACAAGTTCTATAACATGCGATGTTATTACGTTAAAATATAACCACTTATGTACAACGCTGGGCCATCCATTTGTAACCAGTTCTGTTTTTATCTGCGTGTTTATGTATGTACTGTTCTACGTATTTGTTAACCACTTCAAAGAATCTAAGCCATGCGTCATAATCGTCGTTGGGCATTTAAAATATAACGTGTCACGGGGCTCAGTTCATGTCGCATTAGTTATCGGTAGAGTGAAGGGATATGACGAACATTTTAAAATAGACCCGACAGTTTGGTAATGTAAGTAAATGTATGGGAACATTTATTATTTCACTGACGTCGATAAGGATACGTTGAGGTATTTCCCGAGTACCGATGAACTGCGCCCGTCTGTGCCTGTATAATGTTATTCGACGCGCGTCTACGCCGATCAGCGGGCTGGCGGTAAAAGACGCGCGCTAAATTCGGCCGCTGAACTGTGGACACGGTACCGTTACAACTACGCACAGAAATTGGAATTTTGATATCTTCAAAACGATATGAATGACAGACGCCTAACGTCACATATAAAATAATTAACTTGAAATAATCATTTAATGTTATCGAAAACAATATGTAGAATTATGTTCATTACAATCATAGATATCTATTATCTTAGATGTTAACAGAGAAATCATTGTAATAGTTCTTCCAAACACATTAATTATTTATTATAAATGTTGAGATTTATTTATTCAAGAGCAAAACCAAAATGGCCGACTCGGTCGCTCCTCACACACTAACATTACACCGCAATCTTATCGCCCGCGCTAATTACATTGACCACAATATATTTTTATTTCTTGTTTTAATCAGGTCGTGATAATTATACAATTGACCAAAACATTTTAATGTCAGCATAACAACAAGTTTACAGCGATTTATAGACCGACTCGTCCGACTGGTTCGTATAATACTATAATGTAGTTGTGTTATTTTGCTGAAATTATAGTTAGTTTGTAAGAATCTAAATGATTCGTATGAGGAAGCGGTGCGATGGTTTGTACCGGCCTTGCGCGTAAACATAGTGACGTCACACTTGATATCGGAATGACGCGCCGGCACGATCTCGCACTCGACCGCTAACATTTAAGATAAGGAGTGTAAGACTCTAAATTTACTTGTAATTACGTATCATACTTACGTGTGACCGTATGAAATCCAGTTTTGGAGTTAATTAAGCGACTAATAAAACAGATCTTTGCACCTAATTCGCTATCTAAACACATAAAAGCAACGACATAAATCCTATTTAATTGCCAACTGCTCAGATTGTTTACGCGCGCGTCTGATAAACCCGCATATTTGTCGACTTGTGAGAGTTGTAATTAATGTACGTCATACAACAGAATAATAGTTTTACAATAAATATAGGTACGTTTAGAGTCATACATTACAATTACAAAAGACGTGGAAATTACATTGACCGTCATTGCGGAGAATAATTATTATCACAGTGACGTGGTATTCCCCGGCACAAAACAACGCTTGCGCACTCATTCGTCATACGTTATTTACACTGTTTCACTTGGCGAACTGCACTACGCGGAATCAATTTTACATTCTAAACAAATATTTATCTAAAATAATAATAACATATATAATATTCCCCAAAGTTAATATAGTACGAGCGGGATAATATTTCATGCGAGAGTGACCGATCGTTATTTAGTAACAACGGCAGTAAGATATAAAAATAAAGTGTGCGCGCCGAAATAAGGTCACCGTCAGGCCCGGAACCACATAACGGTGTTCGTTACAAAATCGCGTCAAGAATTATTTTCACGTGCGCGGCTCCGACCGTTAGCTGGCGCAAGGCGATGGCAGCATCGGCTACATCATTATAAACTGGAACACTACTCACTAACACTAAAACACAACCTATCACAGGACCTGCGAACATAATAATATGATTTCTGTATAAAATTTTTGATATTTGAGGCAGGTCAGTTAATAAGATTATTTATTTTCGGAAATCCATGTTACGTAATGTTGATTTTGATTGGAATTTTATAAATTTCAAACCAACTCCGGTTCGTTAGTCTAAGTTGGCTATTCGATACGTCTTCTGAACAATACGAGCGAGTCACTGCGAGTGTGAAAGTGCCTCTCACACCTATAAATTGCTTCGCCTCATTCACTTTTAAACATATATTACGGAACTTTTTAAATTACCGCTCGATGTGGATTCTTTCTCTTTTAATATTCATTTTGTACTGTTTAACATTCAATGTTTACCGGCTTAACAAATCTAACTTCATATGAACTCGTTCAGTTCTAAACATTTTTTACATTAGAAATGCAATGTTGCTTTACTTTTTACGTTAAAACAAGAAGCTGATCACGCCTCGTAGTTGTAGCGTGTCAAACTAGCGTGTTCAATATCAATTTCACTTGTTTGTACATCTTATTTTTAACAATTCACTACTATTGATAAACTTAGCGAACACTGCCACTTTATTTGATAATATTTCGTTGTTTATTTATTTGTATAAAACTATCATTAATACTAGAATGAGTTATAAAGTAATAACATTGATTTGATTTGATTTGAAATTTCAATCTCAATGATTTCCTGTTGTACGTGACTTTTTTTTAAGTTAATACGTGACCATTAAGTAGAAACTATGGGAAGAGAAAACTCCAACTCCCAGCGTGTACTGGCAATGTATTTATTTACTCTATACATTGAAAATGACGACGCTTCTGTTGAGAATGAAGACATTTATTATTAGAATACCATTTTACTAATATGCATAATGTATATGTAATTAAAGGTATGCTAGTGAATCGTATAGAGCAAGTTTATTATGAATCTTATATACACGAGCTGCATATTTCAAATTTGCCAAGTATATAGTTACGTAAGTGTGTTCGCCCAGTAACACTGTTTCTAAATAAATCAAGGTTGATAAGATAATATTGTTACCAACTCATCAACATGCTGTCAAGAGATTGATAGCACTCAGCCTGTGAAACAATGAACGAGAAACGGCTATTTAAAAAATAGGTCCTATATCTTAATCTTTGAACGTAACGTGCACTTACGATCTTTTAAAAATTAGGATAAAATACGAATATATTAATACCACTTAGTATTTTTTTTATTTATATGATTTTTATTATAAAATATCAAGTTCTTTTTAAAACTAGACTGAATTCACAACGGTTTAACATTGTATTGATTTTATCATCAAGAGAAAATACATTCGTTGTAAACTTAAAATTGGTAAATAGCAAGCTTGTTCTTCTAAAACTATTACAGCGCAAAAGAATAAAATAAAAATTATTTGTGTCAGTTGATTAAGCCGATCGAAACCAAGATTATAAAAAGAGGTCGCAAGACTATTGAGACTTTCAATGTCTTGCGAACAAGAGTGCTATACATTTATTTGACACCACAATATTGGGCCAGCTACATTCAACGTACTAGAGTCATAAAAGCTCTATATAGCCAATCACATAGAATATAGCTGGAATAATGTATTCGACCCACTTTTAGTTACAAAACACGATGATTGACCATTTAAAGATGTCAGAAAACCGTTGCGAATTCAAAGACGTCTCCTAACGATACGAACATGCCACATGCCATCCGCCTACCGACGTACCGACGCACCTGTACTCTATAACAATTCAAACAATGTTCTAATCTACGTCTCATCATGTTAACTGTTAACATAAATTCCCCCTTCAAAAGATCTCTTTTAAAATGTTAACAATCAACAATACATTTGTGTGTTTATAACATTAGAAGATACTGTCACAATACTTTAGTTTTTCTTTGACATACATTTTATTTAAATCACATATGACTCATTATTATTTATACTAAATCATGGAAAATTCAAACGAAATTGTTGAGATAGTTCGCTTATGATATTTTTGTCTATGATTGTCATTCCACAAATGCCGCGAAGGCCCTTTGTGGGTGACCCCATTTTGTTTGCCTTGAAATAGTTTCATGATTCGTGCACTGCCGCTGTTATCTGAACACTGGGTTAAATGAATATTAAATCTCGATAAATTAACGTTACAGTTAAACTGGAATGCGAATTACAAAAAAAAAACGTTACAAAAGTAAACTTGTGTCAATACGAGCATTGAATATTTAACCATGCCGTGAGACAACAAGGTACGAGTTGGCGAATCAAAATAACTTGTTTTGGGAATTTGACATAACAGTAACGTACCGTTATTGCGTAGGCGACGGCCATCTTCGGCGGCTTATAAAAAAAATACCGCCGAAAGTAAATACATACGTTGAAAATTAACGCAACCTTGAAGGCTTGATGTGAAAAGCGTCAATGAGTAGCTAGATGGCGAAGGCAAAGGTCATGATTCATTTGACAGGTATGTAGGTGTGTGTGTGTGTGTGTGATTAACGTTGCACATGCAAGTGATTTCAGCGAAGATCATGTAA